GTTTCTATTTCTAGTTTCAGATCCTGAATGTTTTTGTTTAATTCCTTCTTTGTGTTTTCTTCCATTTCTTTAAGGGATTTCTGTGATTCCTCTTTAAGGGCTTCTATCTGTTTACTTGTACTCTCCTGTATTTCTTTAAGGGAGTTACTTAATTCCTTCTTATAATCCTCTATCATCATCATGAGAAGTGATTTTAATTCTGAATCCTGCTTTTCAGGTGTGATGGGGTGTTCAGGGCTTGCTATATTGGGAGAACTGGGCACTGATGATGCCAAGAAACTTTGGTTTCCGTTGCTTATGTTCTTGCGCTTGCCTTTCCCCATCTGGTTAACTCTAGTGGTACCTGCCCTCACTCTGTAAAACTGGAGTCTGTATTTCCAGTTATCTTGCTTATTTCAGAGCTCCTCAGAGTCCAGAGGTCTCTGTGGTCTTATGCTCCTAATCTCCTGGGTGGAAGAACTCCTGGGTCTCAGGCCACCTCTTGGATCTGGAAATCCTTCTGCTCTGAGTGCAGTGGGTCCTCGATGACTCAGGATTCAGTTTCTCCACAGGACAGAAGCAGACCAACTCTGTGTCTGCTCCAGCCCAAAGGACCAGGCAAGGGCGGAAGGGAAGTGGAATTCCAGAGGGGCGGGGTTTGGGTAGCTGCTGTGCCCTGAATGTCCCTGGCTCCCAGATGTATCTCTGGGCCTTAGGGAGTGAGATGGAGTTCTTACCAGCTGCTCTGAGTGCAGTGGCTCCTGAATGACTCAGGATTCAGTTTCTCAACAGGACAGGAGCAGACCGACTCTGTGTCTGCTCCAGCCCAGAGGACCAGGCAGGGGCCCAGTATCATCTCTTTATTGTTTTCTTCAGGTTAATTGTGTGTAATTAACTCAGGACTTCAAATTCCTTTTCCTAGATCACTTGATAATGCTATGTATACTTTTTTTTTTTTTAAGCATAGCTTTTTGTTTTGGCATTCCACAGACTTACAAGTAATATTTTTGTTTGCATTCATCTTTTTTCATTTGAAACTTGCCATTATGATTTATTCAATGAACAAAATTCTAAAACAGAGAAAAAAAAGTAGCTCTGTTCTCTTGCTCTTCTGCTTCTTGCTTTCCACTTAGTCATCAGGTGTTGTCTTTCACAATACAAAGTTGCTGGGCTGGATTGGGAGGTGTCAGCAGGAGTCATTTTACTTAGGAGTAACCTGAAGCTTCACATTTGAGGTTTTTGAAAGGGATGTGTATTACTGATTCATGATCTGGATCTTTGTAGGTAATAAGGGAAAAAGGCCATTATGAAAACTGCAAGTAGCTCATAAGTGTTGCAAATGAAAAACAGAGCTGATGTTAAAAGGAAGGAAGGTTAGTGTTAAAACAGCTTATCAGAAATACAAGGGCTAAAAAACAAACTTGAGTATGAGATAGCCTAGGAGACATAGGAACAAAACAGATAGGCAGGCCAGTATTGGTAGACTGGCAGGCTATCTTTTGTGAGTCTTGTCCTCATTCCTGAGAATGTATGCTGTCCACTATTGCTGTTTTACATGTTCTTGCTCTAATGTAGCCAGTTATAACAGACAAAGTAAAAATAATTTCTAAGAAAGCCTCTACTTATATTAGAAAAGAGACCCAGACCTGATTTATAAATCAGGAGTTAAGAACAACATCTGTAGCTATTTTCTGATTGATCTGAGGAACAAAAAAAGCTTAGTGTAATTAATACCGCTGAGATACCTATAGGACTGGAGGTAGTAACACTAGCCAGTAATAACTAACTAGTAGACAGTCAAGGTCAACAACTTTCAAAGCTGAAGTTGAGGAAAAAGCAGATTTGGGGGTACTTGTCACTGGTGAACTTCATGTGAACAGATAATGGTCATCTCTTTGGTTGAGACAGGGAACATGCCTAGAGCCCTCCAATGGGTCAGCCTGTGATAGCCCAGAGGAATAACCAATCTCATAGTGAATATCTCATCTCTTGCCCAGTTTTTGTCATAGTTCTATAAAAACCACAAGACAAAGAAGTTCAACATTTCCTCTCTTGGCATCTCTGCCACTTTTGAGACTTCCATTTACTTTCCCTTATTTTCTTCAGTTTTTTTTTTAATAAAGTTGGATTTTGCTTTGCTTGCTCCTATGAGTATTCATGTCTGTAATAATATTTGGTATGAGAGTAAACTCAGAAGTTACTGTTCCAGGTTGGTCTTTGGTAGCAGTGAGTGTCTGGCATCCTACTTGTATCATGTACAACTGTTGGTGAGAGGGCCTGTCACTATAAAAAACCCTGAAATCATACCATTCTTGTAATGATCCCATGGGTCACTGTCTTTGGAGTTTCATAGCAGAATTGTGCCATCTGCCATGGGCATTTTAGTGGTCCACACTTGCTCTTGCTTCAGGAGACACCTGCCAAGTGCTCTTCCTGGAGTCAACCCCAGTATCTTAGTATTACGACCTCAGTCATTGTAGCAATCTGTATATCTGTTGTCTCCATAACACTCATTTGCCTTCAAAGTTTTGAGAGTATTGACTCTTCTAGGTTTGAGACTTACCAAAGCTCTCTTTGGTAGAATTGACTGTCTATTCTTTATTTGTTTAATCCTTATTTTGAATTCAATAATGGCCAAAAAAATCAATCGCTTGTCCCTGTCTTTGTCCTGTACATCATTAGCAGTATCAACTTACTCTATTACTTAAAGACTTCATTGATGCTAAAGTCAGTAAGTATAGAATCCTGGTCCTTAAAATTAATTTATTTCATCCCAGCATTCAGAAGACAGAGGTAGATGGATCTCTGAGTTTTGAGTCTAGCCTGGTCTGCATAGTAGTTCCAGGACAATTAAAGCTATACAGCAATACCTTATCTTACAAAAGTAAAAACTGAAGTAATCAAAGCCTTCTGACTTCTCTAGGTTGTTGGGCTCATGTAGTTAATTGACTGATACTTAATGCTCCAATGGATGCTTTAATGGAGGTATCTATCCCATCACAAATCAAATTCCCTGGAAAGCAGTGTAATGTCTAAAGTTGTGAAGATGACACTGGCTAATATTGGATTTTTAAACCACCCGTAGAATAATGGGCAGGATGTAGCAGTCAATTGGAGATGTCTTATACCTGCTGTCTTCATCACTGTGCCAAGAAGTTGAGACATCTGTTCCTAGGTCAGCCATTCTATTACTTCAGCTAATTAGTTTGAGGCATATTTAGCAAGTTGTCTATCAAAAAGTAGGATTCCCCTTGATTTTTTTTCTTGTTGAGGTCACTGTATGGGAGAAAGAATATGTAAGCTTGCTTGTTTTTAAAGCATTCTAATTTGACTTCATGTCTTCTAACTGAACAGAGCCTTGTTTCATTTTCCTTGATAATACTGTTTTCTTCTTGCTGGAATCCCAACCTTCTTATTTGTGTGTTTATTTTTGTTTTCATTATTATCAGTGTCTCTACTTTATATGGTTCTTTACACTAATCTGTTTCTATAATTCTGTTTCTGTATTTGAATTCTTATTTGTGATTTCTAATCATTTTGGTTGATTTTTTCATTCTTTATTTTCCTTTATAATTTGGAAACTATCCTTCTATTTCTTTATGACCAACCTTGAAAATCTGTCAAGAAATTTCTATAGTATAATGTTCAACCAGATTGTAGTACCTCTGGTGAGCAGTGATTTTTTTATCTCTGTTCTAGTCTTCTACATTTAAATGTAATTAAAATTATAATAAAAGGTTCATAAATTTTAGGCAATATATATAGATTTACTTGTATGTTTAGCTTCTTTGTTCATCCCTCTCTTTCTAACTCCTCAGATCATCCTTCTGATAATTGTATGAAACATGCTCTTTTTCATTTCTTGAAGTAAAGGCCTTCTGTTGGCAATACTTTTTTGGTTTCTCAGCAGATTCTCCATGCCTTATGTGTTCCCCAAAGAGACTTGGAGCAGTTACATTATATCATTTATTTTAAAGATATCTATTTTATGTATTTATTTTATGCCTGTATGTGTATAGGAACACTGTATGTATGTCTGTTGCCCATTGGAGGACATAAGAGGACATTAGATTTCCTTAAACAGGAGTTATGGGTGGTTGTGAGCCACTGTGTGGGTTCTTTGAATAGAACCTTGATCCTCTGCAACCACTGAGTCAGCTTTCTAGCCCGTGTTACATCGTTAGTTGTAGATCAGCTCATTCTGTGTTCAGTCTGCCTTCTAAACATTTTTGCAGCAATTGAGGGCTGGAGAGATGGGTCAGTGGTTAGGAGCACTGGTTGCTCTTCCACAGGATCTAGTTTTAGTCCCCAGCATCCATGTGGCAGCTTACAACCTTCTTTAACTTGAGTGCTAGGGGATTTGACACCCTTGTCTAGCCTACATGGGCACTGTATGCATGTGGCACATTACACATACATGCAAGCAAAACCACCGTACACATGAAAAATTTTTTTAAAAAATCACATTACACTCCAAGTGTGTGTAGAGTTTAGTTGGTTAAAGGTTAAGCCTTGAGATATTTGCTATGTAGAAGAAAAGTATAGTTAGTTTTGCTTTATTTATTTATTTATTTTTTTTAAACAAAAATTCTTGGTTAAATGTACAGTTTAAATTTTACTTAACATGATGATTATTTTACTGAGATTATTTAGGAGAAAGTTTTTATCCTTAGGAAATACACACTGAAATACTCAAGAATAAAGGACTACATACTCAGGAGATTTCAATAGCGCATAAATATATAATAAGTATCTGAACATATGTATATATTCATTTTTACATCAACATGTGATCCTGATTCTTAGTGTTATCATTTGCATTGTTGTTCAAATTCACTCGGATATGGTTAATTGGTCACACTCTTATATAATGTTTCTATACTGTCTTAATTTTAAATGAAAGACAACTGAGAACTTGTGATGGTCTAATTTTCATTGATCTAAATGACCAGTTTTAATCATCTTGAAAATTGAAATTTCCTGACACATGAACAAGTTATCTTTTTTTTGTGTGTGTGTAGAGTCAAGGTGAATTTTGGGACATGGCCACTGCTTCACCAAGGTCTGACAGTAGTGATAACCACAATAGAAGGTTGCAGCTAAAGGTAACGGGTAAGTGATTTTAGTAATGATGTAGTGTTGTGATGCTTAGGTGAAATTGGATTTTGCATACACAATTAGGCAAGTGTATTTTATAAGTGATGCTTTTGAGACGTATAGAATGATGTTGAACTGATGTTGGGCAGCACTGGGATTTAGTGTCTTGCCTTCATATTCTATTTTTTTTTCCTTGCCTTGACATTATCATTATTTAGTCTGTTTTGAAGTAAAAATCATTTTGTAAAACCCATGATCTTGATTTCACAATAACTTGAATAATAAAAAAATAGTACTTCTAATTATACAGAAGGGACAGGTCTGAGGAACCAGTACTTTGTCTTACTTACGAGGATGCTAGTTGGAACCCTTTTTTTCCCCAGTTTTGGTCCTGGAGATTGAAGCCAGGGCCTTGCACATGCTAGGCAGGCATTCCACCACTGAACTGTATCCTTAGTCCAGTTTACTCCACTAGCCCTTTTATTTTTTAACATTGTCAGCTACCATCATGCCAAGCCCCCTCTATAATTGGAGTCTGGCAGTTGTCTATCTGTAAAGTGAGAGAATCCATGACCCCTTTATTCCTACATATTCATGTCTTCAAAGCCACGAGCCCATGAATGATCAGGCTGCCAGCTTTGGATGATATCACATTAGCTATAGAGCTGTTAGTCTGTTGCTTTCTAGAAGCAGGAAATGCCAAAGTCTTTCACAAATAGGAAGCTTAGTTGTACTGGGTCTTGCCCTGAGTTCTCCCCTCCCATTATCTAGTGCTAAGTAGGAGGCTTCTTCTTAATGATGTTAATCTGTCTATCTCAATACAAGCCCTGGCTGCTTCACTGGATCTCCTGTTGTTCTTTGTCTCTCCAAATTGCACATTTTATATTTATTTTTGCTCATTTGCTATTTTTCATTGTAGACCTGAATAAGCATTCTAAATAATAATCACATCACAGATTCATTATTATGCTGCTTTGAAATTGCCTCTGTTGAGAAAAATCAGCCAATTATTATTTAAATTAATTTTTGCCTCAGGCAAGTTCTTAGGACAAGGGCAAAAAGCAGATTCTTTGCCAGAATTTCACACAAATGGCCATATGCGTAATTGGTTAGTGTTGTTGACCTCTGAAACAGCTTTTGAGGAGGTTTTCACTATCTGCATTGCTGTCAGCATTACTGTCTTCTGAGCCCCTGCTAGGATGGCCCATTAAACTCTGCATACAGTGTTCAACTGCTTTTCTAGCCCAAAGTTCCAAACTTTTCTCCAGTCCTCCAGAAATGATGTGGTTTGGTTCTTCACAGCAACAGTTGACTCTCTGGCACCAACTTTTCTTCTACTGTGATAAAACACCCTGGCCAAGGGAACTTACAGAAAAAAAATTTATTTGGGTTTATGATTACTGAAAGCTAAGAGTCTATTGCTGTGTTTGACAGGAGTGTAAAGTAATAGAACCAATTTGGAAAAATAGCCTGACATTTACTCAACAGAGACTTACTGGGCTACCTGGCAATACTAATATATCCTAGACAAATTAAAACATGCTCACAGCAAAACTTGCACATAAATGTTTATGAAAGTCTTAGACACAACAGCTGCAAAGTAATTTAAATGTCTGTAAACTAACAGAAAAATACAATGTGGTATATCAATAATGGAATAGTATTTGGCAGAAAAAGCAGTAAAGTATTGAGGAATGGTACAACACTGATTAAACCTGAAAATATATTAACTGAAGGAAGGCAGCCATGAAGATCCCACTACACAGACATTTCGGAACAGGCAATCTATAGAGATGGAATGAGGGACATTAGGGAAAAATGGAAGATTACTACTTAATGATCAGGTGCTCTTTAGGTAAAGTAACAAAAATGTCTTAAAATTAATTTGGATATGTGTGTACAAGTGTGGATCTATTAAAATGAAGCATCTTATTCTAATGGATGTATTATGTCAGTAAGTTTGTTACTGAGAAACTATATGGCTTTAAACATCAGTAGCTTCTCATTTTGCCTGTAAGACATGTGCTAGAGGTGGAAGAACACTTCTGTTTTTATTGGTTTACTAATAGGTAATGCTTCTTTTTGTCTTTTTGGTTTCGTGTGTGTGTGTGTCCCCTCACCAGTAAATTATCATTTTCTATTAGTTTCTAGTGCCAAACTAAAAAGAAAAAAGAACTGGTTTGGAACAGCAATATATACTGAAGTCATTGTAGATGGAGAAATTAAGAAAACAGCAAAATCCAGTAGTTCTTCTAATCCAAAGTGGGACGAGCAGCTGATTGTGTGAGTATCGTGTATAAGAATAGAAAATCACATGTCCTATGTTTTGTATTTTGTAGACTTCAAGTAGTGAAGTTTTTTCTTTATCTAAGGAAGAATTTAACATATGAAGAATTTTTTTATCTTTCTCAAAGAGGAAGCATAGTAATTTGTGTTTTTATTTTATAGACAGTTATGTCTATATAGCCTTTTTTTCTCTGATTGTTTTGTATAGAAATAAAGTCAGCCATTCTTAATTTTGGCATTTTGAAGTATAAATTTGACATGTGAAATATAAATTTGAATGTAGTAGAAACATTATAACTAATGTCAGCCATTCAAAACATCTCTAGAAATAGTTTCCTATGGGAGAGGATTTTCTGAGGTCTCAGTAAGACACTGAGTTCTATATGGCTCAGAGGTTGCTAACTACAAGAATCCTGAAGTAGTTATCAAGGCCACAACAAAGTATTTGTTGTTTTCATTTCTTTTTTTTTTTTTTTTTTTTCATTTCTGATCCAGTTTACTGTTTTATATAGTATTGAACTCAATTAATGGTTTTAGAAAAATAATTAGTATAAATAACTTAGAAGAGTTAGCACACACAGTGATGACATGTTTATTTTTGTTATAATGTTATTCATACAGAAATGTGACCCCACAGACCACCCTGGAGTTTCGAGTTTGGAGTCATCACACTTTAAAGGCAGATGCTCTATTAGGAAAAGCAACAGTGGACTTGAAACAAGTGCTGTTAACACACAACAGAAAATGTAAGTGGCTTTCTAATCTTTTGTTTCTTTACGCATCATTTAAGAGACTTTAAACACATCTTTCTAAAGTCCAGAAGTGAAGTGTAGTGTTGTGCTTATAAAGAACTTATAATTGCCAGTGGTTGCTTTTAGAACTGTCATAATAAACTGTAGGCAATATTTTTCTGTTCTTTCTCTATGCTGTAGATCATCTAGAGTACTTCAGTACCAGATACCATCACTCATTTATTTATTTACTTGTATACTTAGACTTGATTCAAGTATGGTGGTGTATGCCTGTACTTCCAGGAGTCAGTAGGCTGAGGTGTAAGAATTGTGAAGTTCAGGCTGGCCTAGGATGAATAAATAAATAGCATCTCCTCTCTCCTCCTGGCTCAAACAAGACAACACCTCCCCTCCCAGTGCTGGGGCCCAAACCCAGGTCCTTGTGCAAACCAGGCAGGGACTTTCCTCTTCACTGTTTCTCTGGCCCTTGAGCATATTTTTATTTTCCTTAACAGTGATATCTTTATTTAGATTAAATATTCTAGTGTTAAATTTTTTCAGTGATAATTAGTTCATTGTTAGAAGTATGGAGAAATGAAAAATCACAGAGTATAGAAATTATACTTCTTTCCAAAGATGACCACTCAGCAACTTGTTCTCCTTTCTTGTTCTTAAGCATACGTTTCCCCTGAGCTTATCATCTACTGCTCTTAAAAAACTCAGCAGCATACTCTAAGTACCAGGCTTCTATGACTGAAACTTTCCAGCATCGGGGTTCCTAAAGTAGTTCTGACTACAGTAATGTTAAGCCTCTTGTCAGTATATACAAAACTTTGCATGTATATACATAGATTTATACATTTTTTTAGAAAGACTTTGTGAATTTTATCAAATTTCAAATTATGGGGTTCACTGAAGGTTTAAAAACCAGAATTGTGGTTCATGATTTTCCTTTTAAGAGAAAACTTCATAAGTTTGAGGGAATCTGATCCTTGATGTGATCCCCAGATGATTTTAGGGTTACTCCTTCAGAGGTGGAAATGTTAGAGTATAAATAATTGAAGAAATTTTCTGATTAATAGAAACTCGGACCTGGATGGATCAGTTGGGTCTGCCAATCACCTTACCAAGGGATCACCCCTCAGGAAGAAGGGGATCACCGCTAGGAAGATGGGCTTGCCTTACTCAACTCCTTTAGTAGGATACAGTCCTTTCTCCCAGAATTCCTGCTCCCACACAGCCCCTCCAAGCTAACATGCAGTTGCCATGAGTTTGGTTGAGTCTGGCTTTTGATTTTTGTTCTTTCTCTTTGTTTTGGATGCTGGGGAGAACCTAAGGATCCGTTCTGTTACCTTGGGCTTTCTTGTCCTCTCTCTAAAACTTCTTCCCACCATGTCGTTGCCTGATGCCATGAGGCAGAGACCTCCATGCTGGTAATGCAAACACCAGGATCTTTCCCTTCTTGCCTCCATTCCTTGCCTATGGGCAGCTGTTGAGATTTACAATGTGCTTGCCCTGGGCTGTTTTTCTACTAAACTCTAATAAAATTGTCCCTTAGTTTCAAAATTTAAAAAAAAAAAAAAAACATAAAAAAAGGGAAGTCCTTCTGAAAATCTACATATAATTGAAAGTTTTTGATACATTTGATATAGTTTTTGAACACTAATTTTAAGGAAGAAAATGTCTTACCTGTGGTTTATACTAATTTAATTATCTGCTATTGCATGACTTATTTTGTCCTGGTCATTTGTCCCTGCACAGAAATTAGTAGGCTTTTCAAGTGTATAGTATCTTACCGGGATATCATCATCTATGTCCCTATTGCTGCACATTTAGCTTGTTTCTAACTCTGTTCTAAAGTTAGTGTGTACTCAGCCCCATTCCCCCATATAAATATTCAGTCACCTAACCTCCATGTAAAGATATTTATCTTATATAGTCATCTTCTAAGAAACTTGTGATGTCAATGTAACTTGAGATAAAACCTCGTAAATTGCATAAACTTAGGTATCCAGTTGATCGACTTGAACAGAATATGTTTAGGTGAAAAATATTTTATAAACATTTCTACTATAAGTGGAGGCCTTCAAAAATTACAGCAGTAGTATCCTAGCCAGTCATTACCCTAGGCAGTCATTAAATTTTTGTTCTATTTTGTTTGGAGGTAGGGTCTTACTCTGTAGCCAGACCCTTTCAGATCCTGGTCCTCCTGTCTCAGCCCCTTGAGAGCTAGACTTTGTCTTGTCCACTTTACTCAGATCTTCAACAAGTGGAGGCATTTTTTCTCACTTTTCTTCTGATCAAGGTGGTGATAGAGTTGTTTTCTTCTAAGACTTCTTACCTTGACATATAGATAGCCATCCTTTCCCCGAGTCTTCAGCTAGCTTCCCCTTTACATGTGTCTATGTCAGTAAATTTCTACTGATAAGGGCAGCATGTGGGAGGCAAAGGCAGGCAGATCACTGTGAATTCTCAGCCACCTATGTACACAGTGAGTTCCAGGACAACCAGGGCTACATAGAGAGACCCTATCTCCCAAAACAACAACAAAAAAAATAAATTGAATTGTTACTATATTGGATAATAAAGAGATCCCTAATGAGTTTTAAAGAGTATTATTTTTCTAAATTATTAACTGACAAGTTATGTTTACAGAGTAAAAAATCATTTTATGGTTTACCTATAAAATTAAATAATCAAAACAAACTAATTAATCTATTCATGTACCCTGTTTTGTGATATGTATTTAAACTTTTAGTAATTTCAAACTTACTAATTCACTATATGTAATGTATCTCAAGCATGAAAATTCCATATTTCTTTTGTATATATGACATGTTATCCTCTTACACTGTTGTCTTCACAAATTTCTCTCACGCCTGAGTAAATTTAATGTAGATTTTGTTGCATGGAAATTGAATCCAAGGGACTTTGCATTTAAATCAGAATAGACATAATAGGAGGATTTGGCCTTTATAGGAAAGAAACAGTAAACTGTTGTCATGGCATGTTGAATTTATGGAGTACCAACTATGTCTGATATGGTGCTTATGACTCTGCAGTGGGTTTGAAGTTCCTTTTATTCTCTTTTTGTAATTCTTAATGTTCCAATTTGTAATGAAAATTGAGGAAACAGACTTAATGAAGCTTGACTAACTTAGCTGTGTATGTCTAGTAAGTGGCAGAGCAGATAACTAAGACATTTGACTCTCAGGATGAAATTGTGCCTCATCCACAGAATCTTTGTGCTTCTGCTCAGGAACAAGTTTGCATGGCTGTTGTGATTATTTAGATAGTATTAGCTTGTTCTCTGAAGGCTGTACTGTTCACAGAAATGATGAAAGATGGTATCAACAGTGTAGAGCTTAAGAAGAATTACTCAGCTAACTGAACGGTGTTATTTCTGTTGTCGTATATACAGGGTCTCCAGATATTAGTGCAAAAAGTTACTTCCAAATGGTGCTGTCAAGTTCTGAAATACAGCAGTTCTTTAACTAAGGTATCTCTAAAACATGTTTTTGTATGTGACAAATGTTTTTAAACTAGAATTTTCTTTTTTCTAGTAGAAAAAGTGAAAGAACAATTAAAACTTTCCTTGGAAAACAAGAATGGAATAGTGCAAACTGGGGAACTGACAGTTGTCCTTGATGGATTAGTGATTGAGCAAGAAACTGTAACAAACCACAGCTCCTCGCCAACCAGTAAGCTGTGCTGATGTGTCTTTAATTTAAATAAAGAACTTTGACTGGAAATACGTAGAAACTGAGTTGCTTTCTTTCCTGATGTTTAGTAGAAATTCAGCAAAATGGTGATGCCTTACATGAGAATGGAGACCCTTCAACAAGGACAACTCCCAGGTAGAGTGCTTTATCTTAGTATTTTTGCAACATGGTATAATATTTCCCAAGCATGAAGTTCGTGTTTTTAATTTACTCTTTTTTATTTTGTTCACTCCAAATTTATGACCCTTCTGCTTCAGTTTCTTGACTGATAGGATTGCATTACTGGGTGGTGGTGGGTGGGTGTTCACAGTGACTTGGAGTTTCCAGTGCAGTTGAGGATGACCTCTAAGCCCTCCTAGCCCTCCTGCTCTCACCACGCAAGTGCTGGGGTTATAAGTACACATCACACCCAACTTACAAGTTTCAATTCTTAATCTCAATTTAATGTAGCAATAGTAGGGAGTATCTCTTATCTTTGCTCTAGCACTCCACATGAATGATAGAAAGTCAGTATTTTTTTAATATAAAGTCTGCTGATATTGTTTATTGTATTTAACTCATTGGAGTAAGACTTTTTTTCTTTTTCAAGGTTGGCTGTTGAAGGTACTATTGGAATTGATAATCATGTATCAACAAATACTGTTGTTCCTAACTCATGCTGTTCACATGTAGTTAATGGAGAAAACACACCTTCATCCCCGTCTCAGGTTGCTGCCAGACCCAAAAATACTCCAGCTCCAAAACCACTCACATCTGAGCCCACCACTGACACAGGTAACCTTGACTGTTGGTCATATTGTTTGAGTGAAAGTTGAAGAGATTTATGTATTTAGGCCTCCATTTTCTTTATTATATTATGCTATCATTCTTAATCTTGTTTCATAATATAAAGTATAAAATTATGACACTTGAAGTTTTTTTTCTAAGTTTAAAATCTTCCAGATTATTTAAGAAGGCATGCAAAAAACAGTTGAGAAATCACAACATTTTTAGCAAGTAGTAATGTGATGTAAGATTCTTGGGTTTTAGGCCACAAGATACTATTTAATTAATGATAAAGTATATTTTTGAAAGAACTTGAGTAAATTCATTGATCTGTTAGTAAAAGATAGAACATGGAATCTCAGAATCATTTTGATTTATATTTCCCTGATGAATAAGGATGTTTAAGTGTTTCTTAGCCATTCCTGTTCAGGATTTTCTGTTTAGCTCTGTACCCCATTTTTAAGTGGGTTTTGTTTTTTTTTTTTGAGACTAACTTTTTGAATTCTTTATACATTTTGGATGTCAGTCCTCTGTCAGATATAGGGTTAGTGATGACCTTTTCCCCAATCTGTAGGCTGCCATTTTGTCTTATTGAAGCCTTTCAATTTCATGAGGTCCCATTCATCAATTATTGATCTTAGAGCCTGAGCCATTGGTGTTCTATTGAGGAAATTTTCTCCTGTACCAATGAATTCCAGGCTATGTCCCACTTTCTCTTTTATTAGATTCAGTGTGTCTGGTTTTATGTTGAGGTCCTTGATCCACTTGGATTTGAGCTTTGTACAAGGAGATAAGTATAGATCAATTGGCATTCTTCTACATGCAGACTGCCAGTTAGATCAGCACCATTTGTTGAAGATGCTTTCTTTTTTTTTTACTGTATGTTTTTAGTTTCTTTATCAAAAATCAAGTGTCCATAGTTGTGTGGCTTTATTTGTAGGTCTTCAATTCTATTCCATTGATCAACCTGTTTGTTTTTTATTAGTGGTTTCTTTAACCTGTCTTCAGCATATGAATTCTCCTTTGGTAGCTAACATTTTAGAAGTATGTGCTGTGATTTGATATTGCTATCAGAAAATTTTATATTTCCCCAAAGGGAGAATTAAACTACTATAGAATGTCCTATGAAGACTTTTTTTGTCCTATGAAGTTTTTTTTTAATTTTTTTAATTTTTATTTAATTTTTAATTTTTTTTTAATTTTTTAAAATTTTTTTAAAATTTAATTTAATTTTTTTAAAATTTTTTAATTTTTCTGAAAATATACCATGATATGGACACCACAAAGTATTCCTTACTTCCAAGAAGGCAGATACAACAGTGAACTTCGTTGCTTATCTTTCTTTAAAAAAGAGTGATATAACATGATAGTAAACACCAGGAAGATCCATCATCTTACAGAAGGAGAGGGCCCCGTGAGCCCACCCTTAAGCAGTTATTGTTATTGGTGGCTTCTGAGAGTCAGTTTTCTTTAAGGTGTATAGCCCCACACGTAAGAATATAAAAGCAAATTGGACTCGGTAGGTTATTTTTAGAAAGAGAAAAATAAAAAGATGACATAATGCTGCAGGGAGTAGAAAGAGGGTGTTAGATCTGGGAAGAGTAGGGGGCAATTGTGATCAACACATACAGTATAAGATTCTCGAGGAATTAATATTTTTAAAAACTCATCCTATAGCTAGACAAAATAACACATTCAGAACATTCAGCTTCCTTTTGGGCCAATTTAAAAATTAGAAATTGTAGTCTTAAATATATGGTATGAAGAAATATTCACTGAGGGATCAATAGTTGTTTTATATTCACATGTATATCCTATTTTATATCAAAATAGTAAAAAAAAACAAAGCAAAACAAAAATCTTTTAAAATTTATATTTAAGTTATTTCCTTATGAACTCTTCCAATAGGATATAAAAGTAAAATAACAAAATAAAATGTCCAAACCTGTTCACTCATATGTTACCAAACCAGGCAAGTTTGTTTTAAGTGACTGTTGTTGGATTCAGGAGTTAAACAAGTTGCATCATTTCTTACAGTAATTATATGTCAATTCCTTATTCATGAAAGGAATCAGATGATAAAAATGTAGACTGGGCACTTCAGAATGGCCAGTTCAGTGTACGGAATTTGTTCTTCCTTTTGAAACAGTTAGCTGTATGATGAGGTTAGTCAAAGTGTTCACTGTCTTTAGTTATTGCATGTTTTAACCTTGAGCATATTCAGATTTTATGAAACAAGAAAGAGAAACCTTTGTCAATTAGCACTGTAGAATCTCTTGTGTATACTTTATTGCTTGTTGAATATTTTATATATCCTCTCCATTGAAGATGCATTCATTTTTCACAGTCCTGCAATTTCAGTGTGAAAAAACATGAACATGAGGAATTAGAAATGATCATTCCATCACAAATAATGCCCTGCCATTTGTAAAATTATAAAGCCAGGGCAGTCTTAACAGCAGTGATGCAATAATAGCTACTGAATGTGCATTTCCCAACTACTCACATTCTTTGGTATATGGACCAGTATTTTCTATTTGCCCTGAAGGAATTAAAGTAGAGAGAGGTCACAGGAATTAACATTCATCTGTGTCTGTCAACTTATTACAACCTCCTCCTGTTCACATTTAGTTATGTAGGGTGTCTCAAAAGGATGGTCTTTATCTTTTATATTGAAAGAGGCCTTACAGTGTTCTCCCAACCTTTTCACCTGCTGTGATTTTCTTACAAAATAGTGTGACTGTCCTCATTCCATTTACTTTAAAGGTCTTCTAGAACCTTTTGTGTTGGCAGCAACTGTTTAGTTGATATATTTGATAGCTTATTCCTTACTAGTAGAATTAATTCAGATATCCTTTCAAGAAAAGGACATTACCTGTTCCTTTAAGATGAAGATGCCAAGTAGTATTCCTCCATCCCTTTTAGGAAGGTGGGTGCTCGGTATTGTCACATATCTATAGGTAGGAAGCAAACACTTTCCCATTGAACTTTATTGCTAATATTCCCTTTTTTCAATTTAGGACTCTTGACATCAGCTTTTGTTATTGGAGTTGTGATGATGAATGTGGAACTCCTTATGCTCTCCCATTCACTGCAAGACGTAGCTGATGCTTATACTATTGAAGCTCTTGAACTATGAGCTCAGTAAACCTCTGTTCTTCAAGACGTTACCCAGCCTTAAACTCCATTTCAGTATGAAAAGCAAACTAATATACCTGTACTTCAAAGCTTCTGAAATCACTATAGATGTGTGGTTTTGTATGTTTGTGTGTATGTGTATATGTGTGTGTGCTGTGTTGTAAATTCATTTGTTAGCAATATTATAGAACTGGCAGGAGGCTATTTGTACTTTCCACCATGATTGGCCTCTAACCTGTTTGGGTATTGGTGTGGTATATAATACAGATGTCACATAACTGTTCTAAGTTCCAAACTATGGATTCTGGAATACATTGTTTCCATGGGTTTCAGATAATGGATGTGGGGCAATACTACGGAGTCCAGAGAAATGATAACGTCTCACCAGAGGTAGTATTGTACATGAAGGATTTTTTCCTCCCATTTGATTAAGAAGATTCATTTGAGATGTTTACTTGCCATCAATATTTATTATAGATTACATTGAAAAGATGAGACAGTGAAGAATAGACTGAAAAGAGTAGATGGCCTGCTAATGTGACAAAAATATCATCAAAGTTAGCATCTCTCTGTATAAATGGGGACTGATATTCTTAATTGCCTTATAATGTTTGTAAAGGTTAAATGGGATAAATCAAAAATATCTATCATAGTTCTTGGAAAGTGGTATTTAAGAAAAATACTATACTTTTTTTTTACTTTCTTCCTCTCTTCTAGTATGAAGTGACTTTTTCTAATATATAATTATTACTTATTAATAAAAGGTAAATGTAATATGGATCAGACAAATGGATTTTGTAGCTATGTTATACTTTTTTCACTTATTGAGAATTATAAATATGGGGAAAACTTCAGAGAAATGTACAGGAAATCCTGTGTGCTGGCCTTTACAGGTGCTAAACCCACATGAAACTTTAGTAAGTTATCAGTAAGGAAACTGTCACTGATACAAACTCAGAGCTTGCCACTGTAAACAGTTCGGCCTACTTGCTTTGTGCTTGAGTGCTTAATTTCTTCCAGAAATGTGGTTCATCTAACTACCATTACATCAGATACAGAGCTGGGTCATTCCTACAGGGCTGCCTCACAGTGTTTCCCTTTATAGCCATATCCACCCTAAAATGGCTTTACCTGTAAGGAAATTGCACAGGAAAACAAATATTTTTCATGTGATAGTTTTTTAAAGTAGTAAAATGGTATCATGATCTATTTATGTTCAAATAACAAAATATTCAAGACTGTAACTTATAAAGAAAGAGATACTTTAATTCTAGCACTCAGGAGGCTGGGGCAGGCTACCCCTGTGAGTTCAAGGCCAGTCTTATCTATATAGTAAATTCTAGGCCAGCATGGCTACATAGTGGATACACTGTCAAGGGACTTTGAGGAGGAAAAAAGAAAGGAATGATTAGAGAGAGATTTAGTTTACAGCTTCAGTTCAGCACTTGGTAGTCTGGGAGTTCAGTTTTTCAGTTCTTTTGGACCTGTGGCGAGGACGTCATTTTGGGTGTTATCATGGCTGGAATGTATGTGAAAGATAAAGATCACCTGGTAGAACAGGGAATCAGAGAATGACTGGAAGTAAGATTTAATGAGAACTACCTCAGTCTTTCCAAAGGCAGCAGTTCTAATGGCCTGATTACTTCTCTCTTAAAAAAAAAAATGTTATATTGTAATCAAACATAACAAAGTCATAACAAGTAGAATTCAAATATAATAGAATTTCTACCTTTTTCTACTTTATTTGAAAGAATTGTAACCCCCAAACCTTAGTGGGTAAAAGTGATTAAAGATATATTTATTAAGTCAAATCAATCTGGAGGCAGGTATCACATGCCTGGAGACCTAGCTACTTGGATGAGGACAACATAGGAGGATCTCTTCAGTCTAGAACTTGAGGGTCTGAACAACGTAGGTAGATACTATACGGTTCTCATATATCTGCTCCTCCTACTGTATTTAGCATTTTCCATTGACATCTTATATATGGTATATTTGTTACAGCCAGCAAACCATTATGAATAAACCAAAATGTTCACACACACATCAAACTAATTTAATAATGAAGAAAACTGACAATGAGTTAGTTATATAACCAGAAACTATGGAACAGTATCACTTTGAAAGCAGTATCAAATAGAAACACTGGATGGAAAAGTACAATTTAATTACATTTCATTTCTTGTGGCATACTAGTTATGTGGGTTCTGAGAAATGCATATTGTTATTTCAGTTTTGTACTTGAGTCTCTTAAATTGTAAGAAATTAGAAATAAAGATTCAATCCACATTTTGTTCAGGCTTTCAGTGTGGTTTCATTTGGGTTGAGGAGTGAGATCAGTAGAATATATGATAGTTTGCTAGAAAGCAGCTCAGTCGTTTTCTGTCTTAGCTGTGCTGTGTATTTCCACCAACAAGGAATGAGAATTGTTGTTCTTCATTCGTACAAGCATTTCTATTTAAGCAGAAACCTTCTCACCTAAAGACGTTTTTATCTATACCTAAATCATTTTATTTCTATAAAAACCTTAGTATATATGCCCTGATGGTACATGCCTATAATCCCAAACACTTGGTGGGATTACAATTTCCAGGCCTGCCTGGAGTAAAAACAAGCAAACCAACAACAAAACCAACAAACACCAACTTTCAGTACTTTTTTTCTTATACTACTTCAGTATGATCTTGGCTGAACTTAAGACTCTTCATTCTGCTAATATATTATATTTAATTTATTAGTTCTCATTTCTGGTTATTTACTGTGTGTGTTCTAAATAATTTCTATTGCATGTGAGTTTTATTTTTTCTTTTCAGTGTTTTTGATTTTCTAGCTTTAATTGTCAAATATAGACAGCAGTATTGAGTTGTATTAGTGATTGTGATCATCCTTACTTTGTTCATTAGTATTTTATTGAATACTTCTAGCTAATGTTAAAAATAATCATACTGCTTTTATCCTTTGCCCAATTACTATGACATAGTTCCTAACATAATTCGCTAATATTGCATTAGCTTTGATTATGCATCATGGTGGCCTATGCGTGGTTTTAGGGATAATGTTTTGTGTGGGTTGGGAAGCTCTTTTTTTTCCTAATGGAACATAACAATTCAAATAATGCAAGAATTATCTATAAAACTTAAAAAAAAAACTTTTTCCAAACCCTGTCCACTCCTGTGTTTGAGGAAAACCTTTCTTCCATTGCCTTTCCATTTCAACTCTGATTGCTTAAAGTTTCATTTATTTGCTTACTGCTTACTGACTGACTTTAAGTTCTGTGTAATTCTGATTTTACTCATATAATTTTATTATTCTATACAAACCTTGCTGTAGTTTTTCATACTTTCCTAATCATAAAGTCATTGAGTAATATGTTTAAAATTTAGATTTACAGACAGTTCCTTATAAATTTCTTCAAAAAAATTCAATAAATACAGCTGAGCCACTCCAAGCGTCTTACTTTTCGGGGGCTCGTCAGGTAGCAGTGCAGTAGTTTCAGACGAACTCACTCCTCTTGTGCTCAGCTTCCCCACTAGCCAGTAAGACAGGGTGCCACATGTAAAACCACTAAGCAGAAACTCATAGGAGAGAAATTTGTTCTGTGCATTCCTAGGACTTGGTTGATGCTAGACACTGCAGCATATTTGAGTTTCCAAAGCCCTTTGTGAATCTGCTTGGAGGATATGGCAGCTGTTTGTGTGGGGAGTGTAGGTCCATACTGTATGCCAGGGTGATCGACAATCCTGTAAACCCCACTCATGCCCTAGCTCCCCTGCATACTCTTGGATGCCCATTTTCTCAAAGTTCGTCACCTAAGCCACTAGTCTCAGAGAAAATAAGGTTTACCTTGCCACGATCAATCCACCACATGGATGGAGTCCATGGATTGTTTCAGGGACTGTATGATACTAGAACATCTTAAGGTAGACTTTCATGGAAACAGTACAGAGATGTTTCTTCCAAGTTTCTAGGAAAGTGTAGAAATTTTTGTCTCATCAAGTAGCCACCTCACGTTCTATCTTGTCAATATAAGTCTCCTTTCCATAGCACCGGAGATATATTGAACATCTCACGATTGTGGTGAGACTGTAAGGAAATCTCAGGAGTAGGTTACTTCTGATGTAAATGTGTCAATGTAGAATGGAAGCTGAGTTTGGTTGTGTGCTTATAATCCTAGCAACTCAGGTGACAAGGCAAGAGGGGATCAAGTTAAAGAAAAAAAAAGTTTAGAATGGGACTATTGGACTTTTTATTTTTAGTCCCCTTTGGTACTGTCATAAGAATTAATGCAATCATGTATGACAGGACAAAATACTGTTTTTCATTTGTTTTGCTTTGAGACTAGCTATCAGTTAAGATAGGAGATTTAGAGTTGATAATTTGGAGGGAAAACAGTTATTTTCCTAATGTTGATGTCTCTTTACTGGTGTTATATGTTAGTTAGTATATATACTTAAATTTTTTATCATTTACCAGTTTATTTTTAAAATTCCTAAAGTTTTTATTATATGCTTACTCACTTTATTCTTAAACATTGATTTCAATGATATCCTTTGTTATTTTATGTTCTTTAATATCTGGTACATTACTCAGTTTGAATAGGTATTGAAGAAGTCTAGTAAACTGATTAGGTAATTGAGTCATAGGTCATTTTGATATTTTTCCCTTGTAGTTAATGGAGAATCATCATCTGTCCTAGCTGATAATACTTCAACCATGGGTACTTCACTACCATCTGAAGACACCACCTTGACTTCCAATTGCACTAGCACCGCCATCCAAGAGCCTCCTGTACAAGAACCCGCAGCATCCTCAGAACACAATGAATGTATTCCCTCTGTCAGTGCAGAAGTGGGACCAGAAGCTCGGAGCCTCATAGACCCTGACTCTGATTCTAGAAATAATTCTGTTTTTGACAAAGTAAGGCAGCCAGAAGGCTGTGTAGAACCTCTACGGCCACAGTCTGGAAACACCAACACAGAATCTTTGCCATCAGGGTATGTCAAGAAAATGTTTTTAATGTTTGACTTCCATTTATGTAGAAATTTTCTGATGAAGTATGAGTATTGGATATTTATATGAAATGTTTCCTTTAAAAAAAAAAAATTAAGGTAGGGACCAGAGAGATGGTTCAGCAGTACAAGTACAAGTTCTAAAAAAAAAAAAAAGTTCAAGTTCTTGCAGAGGGCTCAAATTTCCTTCCTGTGTGCCTGACACAAGGTTAGAAACTCACCTCCAGGATACCATGCTTCTGACCTCTGTGGGCATCTGCATTCAGGTGCATACATATACACAAGCATACACTAACACACACATACACCTAATTAAAAATAATAAAAAAAAATCGTAACATTGAACTCTAAGTGGTAACAGTCATACAACTTTTTTGCTCTAGTGAAACTACATTTTAGAGTTAAGAACAGTCATTTATCTGGTCGAAATATATATATTGTTTGAAGTGAACAAACCAGATGTGAATCTGTAAGACCTTTTGATTTCATTTTTATTGTCTATAGTAGTGACCTTGTCATAACTACAGTTCTCTAGCTCTCTGTATGATCTGCATCCTTCATAGAGGCTGGCCATCTATTCCCAGCACTAGTGAATGCAGGTGACAGTCTCCAAAGGACTCTATTACAAGCCTGGATTTTTCTAATCTTAGTTTTTTCTAATCTCCTTTAAGTTTCTTTATATGAATGTTTTAATTCCCAGTGCTTTTCTTTAAAGAATGATTCTTCATCTTTATTTAAATATTGCTTACTCCTTATATATCTTTTTGTTACTTATTGATATTGATTATTCATTCATTTTGTCTACCTTCAAGACATAAGCTTAGACTTGTTACCATGTATGTACAACATAGTTTGAAAGTGCAATGACAAAAATATGACACTTGTCTTAGTGTTACTTTTCTATTGTGAACAGTCACTATGACCAAGGCAACTTTATAAAAGAAAGCATTCAGTTGGAGGTTGCTTTACAGTTTCAGAGGGTTGATGTGTGATCAACATAGTTGGGAGCAGGGCAGTAGGCAGACATTGTCCTGGAGCATTGGCTGAGAGCTCACATCTGATACACAAGTAGTAGGCAGAAAAGGAATGAACCCGAGCCTGATGTGAACTTTTCAGACCTCAAAGCCCACCACCAGTGACACACCTCCAACAAGGCCACATCTCCTAGTCATTCCTAAACAATTCACTGGAAACCAAACATTCACATATGTGATATGGGTCCCTTTCTCAATCTGATTACCACCGCACTATTCAGTACAGCCTACAGTAATTAGAATGTTGACTTTGTAGCCTTTGCAACTACCCTGGAGGGCTCCGATTTATCTTACTCATTTGTCTGCTCATCACAGTATTGTGCTCTAACTTCTTGCTTTTTAAGCTGTTTTTCTCTCAATACTTTTTATTGGCTCACCTAGTTTCACCATTGTGTACTTGTGGTTTCAGACTGTGGCCTGTCTGCATGTGCTTCCCTAGTAGATCTTAGCATTTTAGTTATTGTACCTCTATGTGTAGGGAAGAACTTGATCTGAACTTGGTTTTCTGCCTTCTGCACAGTTCTCTTGTATTTCATGCAGACACTACCCTCTACCTTTCCTTCAGAAGGCTTTGTCTTTTGGCCTGTGCCTCTCTGTCTAGAGAAGGAGAGGCAGCAGAGGAGCATTACTGTTTTAGGAAGACAGAACATCCAGAAGGTCTGAAATTAATCACTATGTTGTTAATGTAGTTCATCTTTCTTAAGCTAAACAGTTTGGAACATAAAAGAGGGAAGACTACATTTATATTTGAATGTTTTCTTTACAGTTTTCTACACCTATGTATTACATCAGGGGCAAACTAATAAAGTGCTAAGTAGTAAATCATTTCATATTTCTGGGCCAGGAGGCAAAGTTAAGAATATTATTCAGTTACTGACTTAAAAAAAGACAAAATGCCTACCCTGCCCCAACCCTTCTGCCTGGGGTAGAACACTGCATACTATGGGTATGTTGGATATCACTTGCCTTCTTTGCCCTTTTCAGACAATTCTCAGGTCAGAGAGCTACTGATCTGTAAAGGAACCTGGCTGGTTTCACTACTTGCCCAGAGAATCCTAGATCCTACTGTGCCCTTTTGTCCTCTCCTATCAGCTGCTCCAAGGGGAGGCTGCTTGCTGAGCTGTCATTTTAGTGGTAACATTCTACCAGTGGGACCTGAGAGTTGTCCAGAATGGATGTTCAGCAATGGAAAAAAAGGTACTAGGGGTAGGGTAGGGTAATGAAGGATGCCATGTCTTTGCCTACATCATTCACATAGGTAGTCTACTATAATGTACCCTATACCCGTGATGAAGTACTAGATAAAAAAGATGGCATGATGGGTAAATACACATACACATCTGCATAAGCACACATACAAATAAGCAAATAAATGTTTTTAAAAATGAGTTTTTTGGATAGAAGGGTTGGAGAGATGGTTCTGTGGTTATGAGCACTTGTGTTCTTTAGAGGACCAAGTTTAGTTTCCAGCACCTATATGAGGGATCTCCCAACCACCTATATAACTCCAGCTTCAGGCCATGAACATATTCTTCTGGTATCTTTGGGTACTTGCACACATGTGCACACAGATACAAACAACATGCATTTAAATAAATAATAATCTTAAAAGAGTGATAGGATGGAGTTGAGTAGACTATTACATCAGTAGTGAATATATATATATATACACACACACATACATATATATGTATACACATACATACATATTCAGGTTTATGTAATTGGCTGAGGAGAAGCTCAATAGAACTCTTTAATAATATAGTACTATTTGGGAACAAGAAAAGACCCAGAACTTATTTTTAATCTCTCTGAAGAAGTAACAAATACTAGCACACTTACCAGATTTCCCAAACCTATGCACAGGTCAACTACCTCTACATAAAGTGATCCAAAGCTAAGACTGTAGAGATTAAAACATATTTTATAGAAGTGTTCTTAAGCTGACTGTAAATCATAAGTATTTATTCAAAATTAGGTGGTTTAAAACTGCACATGTTATCATGAGATGTCTGATCAGAGATCAGGAAATGGCAGGCACTTCACCTTAGTGTCCCCATGAACTGGCATTCAAGCTCTTAGTGGGGGGTTATTCATAAATGTGCCTAACTTAACATCCCAGCAGAACTGAATTCAGGGCTGTTGGTAAGAAAGCTCAACAGACAGTGTCACTGTGACATATGCTAAAGATGACAACTAAAGTCAGTTTAAAGCTGGGCTTGGTGGCACAGGCTTGCTAGTCCCTTGTACTTGGAAGGCCAAGGAAGAAGGATTGGAAGTTGTGACCTGCCTGACCAATTTACATTCTGTCTCAAAATACAGAATTTTAGGGTGATTGGGGCAACACATAGTCAGTGGTAGTGCACTTGTGCTGCAAAGCTTTAGTTTAAATTCCAATACTGCAAAGGGAAAAGAGAAACGAAAGTTAAAAGAAGCGAATCTCTAGTCTTGCTCCCTGGAGCTAGTTCTTCTACTCTGTGTTGGGGCCTCTTTTCTGGCAATACCAGGTGTGTGGAATGTTTTGTTTCATGTCACGATGGATGAGAACTTTATGATGCTAATGACTAAAGACAGTGAAGCTTCAAACATGCTTCCTGTCTTCTTCAGAGAAATCCTGTCCTGAGAACTAGGACTTTTACCTTTCTACCCAAGAAACTGGAGGTGACTTCTATTCAAGATACCCTCCGCCTGCCTACCACAAAGACTCTAAATACTGTGTTTATTAACAAAGCCACAATACAGTTTATATTAACCCTCAATTAATACTATACCACAGTAGGCCTATTTTAGAATTTTTACTCATTAATCATCTATAAAACCTTGTAATATGAAAAGAGACAAAACAGTCAATGTAAAAGATGCTACACTAGGACTTAAGAGAAAACTGCCACCAAGTTTGGCAGCCTGCCATCCATGGGACTCATGTGGCAGGAGAGAACAAACTTCCACAAATTCTATTCTGACTTCCATATGCATGCAGTGGCTTTCACACATGTGCATGTGCATACACACAGGGTAATGATAATAACGATAATAAATTAATTAAAAAAGAAAACTTTGCCTAAAGAAAAGAGACTATTTTAATATTGTTAGAGGGTAGGGGTAGGTGTCACATGCATACCCAGGTACTAAGCAAAGGATTGCTCAATAAATTTAAGGCCTGGAAAAGTAGCTCAGTGGAAGCTTTAATTGGTAAAAGTAAAGAAATTTGCCAGTAAATAGACTGAAAAGATAAATGTGTAATGTACAAATCAAGTTGAAACATCAGTCTAATAAACAAAGTAACAGAAAAAAAGAAGAGATCCATAATAAAATAACAGGAAAACTCACAAATATGATAGGCAAAATTTTCCTTAGAGAAAAGACTTACCAAAACTGAAAGTAAGCGAAGATACCTATTTTTAAATTACTCATTGGGAACGTTTTATTCTACTAAGTGTCTTCCTGTCCCCAGCCATAAAAGAAGTCTTAAGTATGGAGGGTTTTGTTTTCTTAAAGATTTATTTTTGTATTACGTGCATGACTGTTTTGCCTGCATGTATATCTGTGTTCCACGTGCATGCAGTACCTGTGGAGGACAGAAGTGCGTTATTGATGCTTCAGAACTAGAATGTGGGTGCTGAAGTCAAACCTAGGTTTTAACCAGTGCCTTTAACTGCTGAGCCTCTCCATCCCCTAGAGATTTTTTAAAGGTCAAATCAAAGCAAGTTTTATATTAATAATAATGACAACAGACTTGTCAGAATCAGTAGTAGAATCTGGAAGCAAATGTATTTTAAGTGCTGAGGGAACTTATATATAATCCAGAGCTCAATATTCAGAAATGAAACGTGTGGCTTCATTTTTCAGTCAGAAGTCAATATATTTTACTTGAAATTAAAAACTAGGAAGGTAAGCATGTCAATAAGAAAACAAAAAGAAATAAATACCAGAACTGAACAGATGGTTTGA